TCCCTCTAAACATTTACAGTTATAGTCATAGGCCAATGCCCCTTCCACCCAATCATCTCTCTGCAATAAATGACAGTGAATGAAGTGTTATATGGCGATTCAAGGTGATGAGAACAATTAACAAATTAACAGATAAGTGCTCTGTCTTCATCTGGACATTTATACCTATCTCTCTTAAGTCTTAAGATTATGGGAAAAGAGGAAATAATGTGTCAGAAGCTAGGGAGAAGCTGAAATGCTGTCCTTTGGGGATGGCACAGAAGTCATAACTTCACAGTAGCTATGGGCTAGATGCAACAGGGTTACACAGGACAAGTACTGTAGCAAATCACATATCAGGGAGGAGCCTATGGGTCCCATAAATTCCTATTGATGGATGCTGGGGGAGGGACAGTCATTGTCTTCAGTTGTGTTCCCACCAAGGAGCTCACCAGGCTCCAGTAGAGCATGGGCACAAAGATGACCCCAGTTAAACTCACTGATCAAAAAAAAAAAAAAAAAAAAAAAAAGAAAGAAAAGAAAAAAGAAAAAGAGTAGGGGCTAACAGGGGTGGGAGGGAGATTAGAGGGTGGGGCTACAGCAACCAGAATACACTTTAATACATGTATGAAACTATCAAAGAACAAATATAATAAAAGCTACAGTAAAAAAGAACACAATGGTAATAATAATAGCAATAATAATACAAATAACAAAGTTTTCCCATTGATTCAGTACAAATGCAGTAATTTTTCACTACTGGCTCTTCACAGGCTCTATTTATACCGTGAGACCCTATCTGAAAGGGATGCAACTATTACATTGAAAGAACCAAAAACACTTAAAAAGACAAGTGTTCATAGTAGCATTCTCAACAAACAAATTAAAGACAACTGTTAAAATGGTTGTAAGCCTCCTTTGGCCAACAGCAATTTAAATCACTTATATATGGCAAGTGTTTTAGCCAAATGTGATCTGGCATAAACAAGTCCTGACTCAGTTTATGTAATTGTTCACTCACGTTAGCAAAGTGCCATTATCAAAAGCTTGTGATTTGAGGGTAACCATTAGTGTGTGAGCTAATATCAGCCACATTCAACAGCTATGATTTTATTAGTATAATTCATGTAGAGAATACTGTCTTCTTGAATCCAGCAGCTATTCTTAGAAATGTAGAAAATAAACTTAACTGATATTCGTAAGAATCACTAAAGTCTAAAGTGACCTGGCATCACCTGTTGACGCCCTGTTAAAAAGCTCGGGCACTCTTTCTGTTCTTTGTCTTTACAAATGAAATATAAAAGCCATAGTCAAAGAATACAAAAGCAGATTATGTATATGCATACACACATAAGTGGAGATTTTTGGTTTCTTTGAAGCCTCAGTTTTGTCATGTGATATTTTGGTACAAACTGGACACAGGATGTCTTGCTGTGAGCTCTCATGTGAGAGGAGTAACTTTGGCCAGCTGAGGACATCTGTGGGTAGACTTTGGGGAGAGGAAATATACAGAGGTCCACGCACAGTGAGGTGTGGCTTTTTGAATAGATATCGCTGTGCTTATCTTCGAAGTGAGAAACATTCCAGAGAACTTCTTGGGGTAATCCAACTCAGTCTAGTGGCTTTTGCTGACTTGTGCTGATTGTGTTGAACTGGACTGCTGGTATCCTGAAGACTGAGTTTGGTAATCCCCTGAAAACTCGTCAACCCTAATAAGCAGGAAGTAGATAAAAGAGGTATGCAGCCCTTTTCCTTACTAACCTCCTACCTAAGGTGGGAAAGTAAGTAAAAGGTTTAAGAACTCTAAATAAAGTAGATTTGGTGAAAAATCTAAGCCTATACACACATATGTATAAATCTGTTTTGGCCTCTTAAGAATCCTTACCACCTCTGGGCTTATAACATGACCTAGATCACACACACACACACACACACACACACACACACACACACACACACAC